ATACACACACACATATACATATATATACACACACACATATACATATATATACACACACAACATATATATATATATAAAACACACACACATATACATATATACAGTCATGGCCGAAATTGTTGGCACCCTTGATATTTTTCCTGAAAATCAAGTATTTCACACAAAAAAGGTATTGCATTAACACATGTTTTGCTATACACATGTTTATTCCCTTTGTATGTATTGGAACAAATATAAAAACAGAGGCAGAAAAGCAAATATGACATAATGTCACACAAAACCCCAAAAATGGGCTGGACAAAAGTATTGGCACCCTTAACTTAATATTTGGTTGCACACCCTTTGGAAAACATAACTGAAATCAGTCGCTTCCTATAACCATCAATAAGCTTCTGACACCTCTCACCCGGAATTTTGGACCACTCTTCCTTTGCAAACAGCTCCAGGTCTCTCTTTTGGAAGGACACCTTTTCCCAACAGCAATTTTAAGATCTCTCCACAGGTGTTCAATGGGATTTAGATCTGGGCTCATTGCTGGCCACTTCAGAACTCTCCAGCGCTTCTTTGCCATCCATTTCTGAGTGCTTTTTGACGTATGTTTGGGGTCATTGTCCTGCTGGAAGACCCAGGATCTTGACGCAAACCCAGCTTTCTGACACTGGGCCCTACAGTGCGACCCAAAATCCTTTGGTAATCCTCAGATTTCATGATGCCTTGCACACAGTCAAGGCACCCAGTGCCAGAGGCAGCAAAACAAACCCCAAAACATCATTGAACCTCCACCATATTTTACCGTAGGTACTGTGTTTTGTTCTTTGTAGGCCTCATTCCGTTTTCGGTAAACAGTAGAATGATGTGCTTTACCGAAAAGCTCTATCTTGGTCTCATCTGTCCACAAGACGTTTTCCCAGAAGGCTTTTGGCTTACTCAAGTACATTTTGGCAAACTGTAGTCTTGCTTTTTTATGTCTCTGTGTCAGCAGTGGGGTCCTCCTGGGTCTCCTGCCATAGCGTTTCATTTCATTTAAATGTCGACGGATAGTTCGCGCTGACACTGATGCTCCCTGAGCCTGCAGGACAGCTTGAATGTCTTTGGAACATGTTTGGGGCTGCTTATCCACCATCCGGACTATTCTGCGTTGCAATCTTTCATCAATTTTCCTCATCCGTCCACGACCAGGGAGATTAGCTACAGTGCCATGGGTTGCAAACTTCTTGATAATGTTGCGCACTGTGGACAAAGGCAAATCTAGTTCTCTGGAGATGGACTTGTAACCTTGAGATTGTTGATATTTTGCCACAATTTTGGTTCTCAGGTCCTCAGACAGTTCTCGTCTCCTCTTTCTGTTGTCCATGCTTAGTGTGGCACAGACAGACACACAATGCAAAGGTTAAGTGAACGTCTCTCCTTTTTATCTGCTTTCAGGTGTGATTTCTATATTGCCCACAACCTGTTACTTGCCCCAGGTGAGTTTACAGGAGCATCACATGCTTGTAACATTCTTATTTATCCGCAGTTGTGAAAGGGTGCCAATACTTTTGTCCAGCCCATTTTTTTGGAGGTTTGTGTGACATTATGTCGAATTTGCTTTCTTTCCTCCCTTTTTTTTGTTTTGTCCCAATACACACAAAGGGAAAAAACATGTGTATAGCAAAACATGTGTTAATGCAATACGTTTCGTGAGAAATACATGATTTCCTGGAGAAATATCAAGGGTGCCAACAATTTCGGCCATGAAAAATATACACACACACATATACATATATATATACACACACACACACAAACACACACACACACACACAAAATATATATATATATATATAACACATACATACATACACACACACACACACACACACACACACACACAACACACACACACACACACACACACACACACACACACACAACACACATATATATATATATATATACACACACACACACACACAACACACACGTATATATATATATACATACATATACACACACACATATAAACACACACACACATATATACACACACACAAACATACATATATACACACACATACATACACATATACACACACAAACAAATAAACATACAAAAAATAAAAACACAACACACACACACAACATATATATATTTACACACACATCTCAATAAATTAGAATATCATCAAAAAGTTAATTTATTTCAGTAATTCAATTCAAAACAAGAAACTCATATTATAAAGATTCGTAACACACAGAGTGATACATTTCAAGCACTTCTCTTAATGTTGATGTTATGGCTTACAGCTAGTGAAAACCCAAAATTCAGTATCTCAGAAGAATTAGAATATTGTGAAAATGTTCAATATTGTAGATTCATGGGGGTTATTTACTAGAACTGGAGAGTGCAAAATCTGGTTCAGCTGTGCATAGAAACCAATCAGCTTCCAGGTTTGTTTGTCAAAGCTTAACTGAACAAACTGAAGTTAGAAGCTGATTGGCTACCGTGCACAGCTGCACCAGATTCTGAGTGTGCCAGGGTTAGTAAATTTCCCCAATGGTGTCACACACTAATAAGGAAATTAACTCAAAATACCTGTAAAAGGTTTTCCGAGCCTTTAAATGGTCACTCAGTCTGGTTCAGTAGGTTACACAATCATGGGGAAGACTGCTGACTTGACAGTTGTCCATAATTTACATCCTCCACAAGGAGGGTAAGTCACAAAAGGTCATTGCCAAAGAAGATGGCTGTTCACAGAGTGCTGTATCCAAGCATATTAATGAGTGGAAGGAAAAAGTGTGGTAGAAAAAGGTGCACAAGCAACAGGGATAACCACAGCCTTGAGAGAATTGTGAAGCAAAGGCCATTCATTAATTTGGGGGAGATTCACAAGGAGTGGAGTACAGCTGGTGTTAGTGCTTCAAGAGCCACCACACACAGATGTATCCAGGACATGGGCTACAACTGTTGTATTCCTTGTGTCAAGCCACTCCTGAACCAGAGACAACGTGAGAAGTGTCTTACCTGGGCTTAGGAGAAAAAGAACTGGACTGTTACTCAGTGGTCCACAGTCCTCTTTTCAGATGAAAGTAAATTTTGCATTTCATTTGGAATTTAAGGTCCCATAGTCTGAGGAATAGTGGAGAGGAACAGAATCCAAGTTACATGAGGTCCAGTGTGAAGTTTCTACAGTCAGTGATGATTTGAGGAGCCATGTCATCTGCTGGTGTTGGTCCACTGTGTTTTATCAAGTCCAAAATCAACGTAGCCCTCTACCAGGAAATTCTAGAGCACTTCATGCTTCCCTCTGCTGACCAGCTATATGGAGATGCAGATTTCATTTTCCAGCAGGACTTGACACCTGCCCACACTGCCAAAAGTACAAATACCTGGTTTAATGATCATGATATCACTGTGCTTGATTGGCCAGCAAACTCACCTGACCTAAACTCCATAGAGAATCATGAGGAAGAATCATGTCAAGAGGAAGATGAGACACCAGATCCAACAATGCAGATGAACTGAAGGCAGTTATCAAAGCAACCTGGGCTTCCATAACACCTCAGCAGTGCCACAGGCTGATCACCTCCATGCCACGGCACACTGATGCAGTACTTCATGCAAAAGGAGCCCCACCAAGTATTGAGTGCATACTATACTGTACATGGACATACTTTTCAGTAAGCCAACATTTCTAATTTTCTGAGATATTGAATTTTGGGTTTTCACTAGCTGTAAATCATAATCATCAAAATTAAAAGAAAGAAATGCTTGAAATATATCACTGTGTCTATGTAATATATGAGTTTCATGTTTTGAACTGAATTACTGAAATAAATTAACTTTTTGCTTGTTCAGTTAAGCTTTGTAAAATTTGGTGCAACTCTACATAGAAACCAACAAGCTTCCAGGTTTTTTTGCCACTCTCCAGTTTTAGTAAATAACCTTCAAAGCATTTTCAGTCTGAAGGGGAAACCCTACCAGAGATAACTGTAGTCCCTATACTTACAGCCATCACTTTCTATGGAGATTCTCCAATTACACCCTGCCACCTTATTTTATTGAAACCACCAACATTTAGATAGATAGGTCAGTGCTGGGTGGTTGTCAAAGCTACATTGCATCAGTTTTTAAAAGTTGCCTGCCTTTATTAAACTATTGGATGCCAAGGCCAAGAAAAAAGGAGAAGATGGGGGAGTGACATTCTACACAAAAGGTGTAGTTGTCCTTTAAAAAACCTTTGTCACAAGGAAAACCAAAGACAGAGTCTGATTTCTTGAGCCTCTGGCTTTTATATTACTAGTAACTTACAGGCTATATATAAGGGCCCATTGGGAAGTGGACCGAAAGCAAAAATGACAAATACCACCTTCAGCATTCTGAGGTTTGCTTTACCTTTGACCTGCAGAAGAATTACAAAGATACAAGCTATGTGCCATGTGACGTTCATTCCTTTTGAACAAACACTTGTACCTCAATAAACAGCTTGCCTAGTCATCTACTCCAATTTCTGTCTTGTGTAATTGTGTAAATATTGTCACCCAAATCTGTTTTTTGGAAATAAAATCATTTAATCTTTAAAAGGATAAAAAGATAACTTATATAAAAATATTAAAAATTTCAAATTAAACCCAACCAAATACACCACATCTCAGAACTTGTGCAGGAGCTCCATGACGGCAATGGTTGTACTCTGACCAAATATGAAGGACCCACAGAGGACAGAAATGATCCCCCAGGCGATGAAGCATGTCCTGCAAAGACATTAACAGAGGATCGGTTAGATCTATATTACAGACTGAGTGATTACCTGCTTAGCTATCACCATACAGAAGATGATCAATCCTTTATGAAAAATAAAAGCTCTCTTTTTTTCAATCAAAAACATTCTGCCAATAAATAAAAGGACCCAAAAAAAAAGGACATTATTGGATATTTTTGATTGAGAAATTAACTTTTTGTTTAACTGCATCCACTAAAAATTGTGAAGGGGTCCGAAGCAGGGGTGTACTGACAACTCATGGGGTCCCCGGGCAATAGGGGATCATGGGGCCCCTGTGTCTTTGCTCAAACTCAAAAAAGCCTATGAAAAAGGTACCAGGGGCATCTCATGGGGCCCCCTATTGACCCTGGGCCCACGGGCAGTGCCCGAGTTTCCAAATGGTCAGTCCGCCCCTGGTCCGAAGGACGCCTATGTAGGTTTACCAGAGAGGGGATGGCAACCTAAATGCTTCCCATGGTGTGTAGCTAGTTGGAGCATAAACCTACCTTCCATACCCATATACCAAAACCAAAAAGTCTGGTGCCTACATGCATTAGACACTGATAATTTGGAAAGGGTGCAAACAGTGCAACTGCCAATTTCTTGTCTATGTGAAGGTACAGGCTCCAGAGCTATTATTCTTTTAGTGACTTACTCTCCTGAAACAAATATGTGGATATAATGTTTTTCCAGCACTTTGTTGGCTGCATTCTTGTTTCAGGGCAGTACCAGATCTTCAGTAAAATCTTAAAACACTAGAAGATCCATTGATTCCCCCATCAACGTTAAACAGCATGGAATCTCACATGACAGCTATTGTATTCGGATACCCTCCACCTCTGGCTGTTAGAATACTTATACAGTAGTTTCATCTAATTGGATGCAGCTGCTGTTCAGCCGGCAATTTTCCATCCAGCTACTTTGATTTTCAAATTAAAAGGATGGTGGGTGCGAGGGTGCCAACCCAGGTTCCAATTTCAACCAGTCCGTCAGGAACCGGCGGAAATTCGCTTCGTTTATGGCCAGCATAAGTACGGAAACAAAGATAAAAGGTGACGAAGGTTGGAAATTGCAGTATCCATATTCCTTTCCTTGTAGGTTCCTTTTGAACTATTAAAAATGAGGGTTGTACTGGGATTAGTCAATTTCTGGAGTCTTGGTGGAGGCCAATCTTTGCTAAACAAAACATGATTACTAAGGGATGTAGTAAACCACCTGCGCTACCCAGATAGAATAAAACCGAAATAAGGAAGCTGCTATCACCTAGCTATACACCTGAATAAATTACAAAGATAAAGAAATAAAATGATGTTGCGCTCCCATATACAGTACCCAAATATTAAATACACTCAAATGGCATGATATATATACATGGATATAATACATCTCTAATAAGCTCTAAGGTGTGAGATATGAACATCAAAAAAAGACAATCTCATGTGATAATTTGCAAAAATATATACATATATAAAAGAAAAAATACACATCAAAAACTGAAGAAAATGGTGAGACAATGTACATGCGTCCCTTCATTAGGGGCAAAAGTGACATAAATCACAAATAAAAAAGTGATAAATATATGGCATAAAATATGCCTGCAAAAGTGCTGTGAAAAAGGACTCACAACTGACGTGAATACCTATAGTAATATACGGTGAGACTGTCAGGATAAAAACCCGACTCAAGACAAGACTTTAGGACCACACAAAGTCCTTGCACATAAATGTGTTTAAAAAATGTGATAAGTGACCAAAGTAAACAAAAATAAATAAATAATGCGCTCCAGTCCATAATTGAGACTTATTTGTGCTAATACAAACACATCAAAAAGTGCCACAAAGTAAATAGCACAATGTGCTGCAAAATATATAAAATACCCTACTAAGGCACAAAATATGTGCCACCAAAAAACAACAATAAACAGCAAATCTTCAAACAGATGAATAAAGTGAAAAATTTCAAACGGAAGAAAATTGGTGATGCAGGTGTATGAAAATGGGATCAGTCTCCGGCTGGATTGACCCCCTCACCTTCATGTAGCGACTCCGAGGGGCCAATAAGCCTTCAAAATATTAGACACAGCAATACGGCCAATCAGCAGGTACGGATCCGGTTTATCCCCTTATGGAATAACAGGTATAACCAATCCTGATATCTGTGTTTTTCCCTTAGGCAGGATAAGCTCAGCCAACTCACATATATAGGAAAGAAGAATCCTCCCATAGTGTAATACTGTAAATTTATTCAAATATCACAAGCCAGTAAAGTGCTCACTCACATGTTAGAGGTAAAAGACAAGCTCAGGGGCGAACTGACCATTCGATCACTCGGGCACTGCCCGAGGGCAGGGGTCAGTAGGGGGCCCCATGAGATGCCCCTGGTACCTTTCATGGTCTTTTTCATAGGCTTTTTTGGGTGTGGGCAAGGAAACAGGGGCTCCATGATCCCCTATTGCCTGTGGGCCCCATGAGTTGTCAGTCCACCCCTGGACAAGCTCACAGAAACTCATGTAAAAAACGCTGGGTGTACTCTCTGGGCGTACCAAAATGGCGCCCACTAAGGGAAACTGACATGAGGTTGGTTTGATAAAATGAGAAGCTCTGCACTGATCTCCTCCTAACCATAGAACTTCTGAAGAAATGTAGGAAAGGGGGCATTTTTATCACCTTTAGGCTCCATGCAAACTAGCATTTTTTATAAGCTCAAAAAACACTGAATGAAAAACGGCGCTAATAGCATTTAGAACAATTAGCTTTTTATTAGCGATTTTACAGTACAGTACAAAAAAAAAAAAAAAAAAAAGCTTTTTTTAGGAGCGTTTAGAAGCATTTAGCATTCTTTCTGCTCCTAATGGCTAAAGTTTGAGAAATACTTCTAGCATAAAATTAATGCTCATAATACCTTCTAGGAGCTTAAAAAATGCTAATGTGCGTGGAGCCTTAGAAAGTATGTCGGGATCCAAAATTCAGTTAGATATAATCGTTACAATTAAAGTAATAGCTGCATTGATTTGGTTGTAAATTCTTAAAGTGTTACTAAACCCACAACAGTAAAATCAGTCTGTATATGCAGTAAAGCATGCTTGTTATACTCACTGTGGAACTTCAGGGGTTAGTCCTCTGCATTGTGTAAAAAGGATGTTTGATCCTGACTTCTCTGCTCCTCCTCTTGTTCAAATGTCCATGTCTTATGTCCTGATAAGACAGACTGAACCGTAGCCATTCTGCACATGCTCAGTTTGGTGTGTATTGCTAGAGAGGTTTTTTTTCCTTCTTGGGAGAGTGCATGTGATCAGCACAGGGCCAATCAGCACTATCCAGACAGAGGTCAGGGATTTTGCATCCTGCTAGAGCAGAAAGTAAACTCCTACTACACAAGCTTTAACCAGTGCTCTGCTGGACATTGATAGAAGTCACAAGACTGCTCTAACTGCTAATGAGAAAAGGTATTTAGCAGTTCATTTACTAAAATAATTGCATTTCCGTGGTCTATGTACTGTGGGAGACCAGATATAGTGAATGCAGGATCCTGGGTTTAGTAACACTAACTATACCCAGTGAAGTGATTGGCCTCAGGGGATACAAATCTACCTAAAAAAGGTTGTACCTGTTTATTTGCACCATTTGACTTCTACAATGTGTAACTGCAGCTCCGCGCCTCCTGCTTTTTGAATGAAAAATCCTTTTCAATCTCTGAGTTTTACAATGATGTACAAGAGTCGAGAGCCGACTGTAGGGCACACCCCTCTTTACACAGCACACAGGAACAGAGCTGGAGCTGTCAATCACTGGAGATCCCTGCCAACTTTTGTCCTCTTTTTGTCAGAAAAACTTGTCAAAAGAACTTGTCAAAAGTGACTCATGCTGACAACAGAGGAACTAGACAGCAGAAATGACACCCAAGTCCCATACACAAAATGAAAAAATATCGATCATCAGGTTGTTTTTGCATGCTAGTCTCCATATTGAAAATGAAGAGGTTTCTAAAATTATGAAAATTCTCCTACGACAGAATAAATACAAACAAAATAAAGTGATGTAATGTATTGTATTTTCAGCCAAACACTGTACTGATTCTAGTATTGTAAGAGAAAAATGTTTGTGCTTGTCCCTTCGAATGTCAGACGAAAGCTGTGTACTGAACAATCAGATAATCGTAGGATGGCTTTGAAAGAGGTATTTTTCATACGATATTCTGACCGTGTGTACTAGGCTTAAGTGCTTCGGAAAGAGGCAAGCAAACACTATGGAAATATATGTTTTGTGCAGATTTCATGTCTGAGGTTTATAAACCACTTTAACTTATTAACCACTTCAATACCGGCACTTCTACCCCTTCCTGCCAAGGCCAATTTCCAGCTTTCAGCTCTGTTGCACTTTGAATGAATTGCACGGTCATGCAACACTGTACCCATATGAAATTTTTATCATTTTTTTTCCACACAAATAGAACTTTCTTTTGGTGGTAATAACCACTGAGTTTTTATTTTTTGTGAAAACAAAAAACACCTGAAACTTTTGGGAAAAAAAAAAAAAAAAAAAAAAAAAAAAGCACTTTTCTTCATTTCGGTTATAAAATTTTGCAACTACATAACATTTCTTCATAAAATTTAGGTTTAAATGTATTCTGCAACATTTCTTTGGTGAAAATATTAGAATTTGTATTTTTTTTTTTCCCAAATGTTTATTTTTTTTAATAACATTTTTTCTTTTTTTTTACCATTTTATTTTTCAGCACACTGTGACCAAAGCAATACAATGTTACCATAGTAACATTGAACTGCTCTGGGCAAGCAATTAGGATTTTTTTTTTAACCACCTCCCGCCCGCCATATAGTAATATGAGGACACAAGGTGGTTCTCTCGTTCTGGGAGGATGTCATATGACGTCCTCCCATTCTCACTGCGCATGCGCGGCTCAGGGAGCGCGCAGCACGGCGATCGGCGGTGCGCTGTGTCCCTCAGACACAGCGGATCACCGATCACGGAAAGAGCTAAAGAGGTCGGCTCGGTCATGTGATCAGCTGTGTCCAAAGTAATGCAAAAAATGGCCTGGTCATGAAAGGGGGGTAAATCCTCAGGAGGGCAAGTGGTTAATCAGCTGATGCACGTGCACAGTGATTTTCTAATGAGAAAAGTTGCAGGGTTTCCTAGAGGTAACTACCTTTTGGGAGTATCTCACCAAAAAGGACATATTTGTTGCAGAGGATGCCTAAAATCATTGAGCCGATCACACAAACAGTAAATGACATTTCTGCCAATGATAGTTGGTATACAGAACACCTCCTGGATGCCATATTGCATTGCATTTTACAGAAAATTACTGCATTGCAAATTAAAAAAGGAAAGGTAATTTTTAAAATGTAACTCCACTTTAGTGGAAAAAAAATTAGCAAATAAAAAAAATATACAGTGTATACAATTTCAAAACGCAAATTATATTGTAATTGAATGTTATTGAAAATTACCTTTTCTTTTAAATCTGCAGCGCTGTAATTTTCTGTAAAATGCAATGCAATATGGCTACCTGGAGGCGTTCTGAGAATGCCCCCTGAAAATGTCATTTCCTGCTTGAGTGATTTGCTTCCAGATTTTCCCAGAAGTCTGCACTAAGATGCAGGTCAGATTTTTTGTCATCCCCTGCAAGAAAATTGTCATTTTTGGTGAGATAGTCCCAAAGCGAAGTCAAGTGTAAAAAGGGATGCAGACCCTGCAACTTTCCTCATTACAGCCCTGCAGGTGCAGCAGCTGATTGATAATTGTAAAACCACTGCCATACAGACTCACTCAGCACATGGACACAAACAGCCACTCCTTCAGAATAACAAAAGGGTAGGAATCTGCAAAAAGCATGTTAAAATCTTTTTTCCCACAAAAGTGAAGTTGCCCTCTAAGTATATAGGATGACTCACTTTTTTCTTGGATCCATTGCTTCACTTTCCATTGCACATATCAGACACAATCCTACAATATACAAAAAGAGAATTGAAACGTCATTTACAAAAAGGGCATACATTTTCATATCCACACACAGTCAGTCAATCTTGTATTTTCACTATACAGACACCAGCAAAAGATTTACAGTGTAACCAAGAGCTACACTTGACCCCATATGACTGTGCACATATTTGGGGAAATATTTTGCTCAGGTAGGGAAAAAAAAAAAAAAAAAAAAAAAAAAAAAAAAAAAAAAACTCTTAAACCCACCTCCAGCAAAAATGTAAAGTTTTGATAGAGTGAGGACCTGGTATCACTGACACCATTATAAAAAGTTTAAACCGCTTCCCACTAGAACTAACAAGTACAAAACAATTATGCTGGAGTTAAGCTTTTAATTCCATTTGAGAAAAAAAAAAAAAAATTAAAAAAAAAACCCTGTTCTGAGAAATGCATGCGTGGTACGTTTCATTCTGATCAATATTTGGACAATTTTTTTATTATCCGGAGATTAAGATGTATCTAAATTTCTGAATTACAATTGTAACGATATTAATAGAATCTGATATAAACAAAACAAAATTTCAGATGAAATTTAAATTGAATCAAATTTCGAACACAAGAAAAGAATAAAAACAAAGGAATAGAATAGAGTAAAAACAGAATAGAAAATAAGAGAATAGAACAAAAAAGAAAGTAGATTAGAAAAGAATAGAAAAAAAAAAATATTGGTTTGTTATCCATGCTTATGGACTGATTATTAGAGCAATGTAGCTGCCTACCACTCCTCTTATATCCTCAGATGGATAAAGATGACAATATTACAAAAATTATAGTGCGGCGCTACCAAATGGTGGTAGAAAAACACCTTCCTCCCACATGTGTACAACACTTACATACTATATGTGCGTCCTCCTCAAATAAAGGCAAAGAAAAAAAAAAAAAAAAAAAAAAAAAAAAAAAAAAAAAAAAAGGATTACAATGATGAAAAAATTCCTACAAAATCATGATGTACTACAATACACCTCCCTCCACAGAAACGTGCTGTTGTGTATATTTATATACCAATAATCATTTGTGACATCATCCCAACGCAATAGTAAAAAAAAAAAAGCACTCGGATATGGCAAACTGTGTACTACCGGACACCTCCCCCCTACTGGAACATTAAAATGTGCTCCTATGCAAAATCTATGCAATAACAAATAGTTGTGACATCCATAATATACAATTCCCCCCACAAAGTGCTTCAGTGCAGTCCACTTAAAAGCTGCTCTTGATTTCAATGTAGTGTTAGGTTCCTTCGTGTGATACCTGGGGCGGGCTGACAACTCATGGGGCCCCAGGCAATAGGGGATCATGGGGCCCCTGTGTCCTTGCCCAAACTCAAAAAAGCCTATGAAAAATGTACCAGGGGCATCTCATGGGGCCCCTACAGACCCCGGGCCCTCAGGCAGTGCCCGAGTTTCCAAATGGTCAGTCCGCCCCTGTGTGACACTCATGCTCCCCATCCCCATTTGGTCCGCACTCAACAACAATGTAGACTCCCTTTATATAGTAAAAGGATTGGAGAACACATCTAGAATATAAAAGGATTCAAAACACCATAGCTTAATCAAGACATATTAGATTATAAAAAACACAACAGAGACCCAAAGGGAGTGTTTCCGTCCCCCCCCCCCCTACCTGTAAGCACCCCTGCCTCTAAAACACGTATGTGTGCATGGACACATGAGTTGTAGCAATTTAATTTCTGGAATGGACTGGAAAAAAAAAAACAAAATCTATGCTTATCCATCACTCTTTCAAAGCAGTCCCCTTGTGAAGTGACACACTTTTCTAGATGGCTCTGCTACTGCCAGAAACATTTCTGGAATTCGTTTTTCTAAAAGCTGCGCAGTATCTTTGTCGCAATGCCCTGAATGTCCAGAATGTCGTAAAATTTCCTTTTAAGAAGGCATTTTTAAATTTTGGAAATAGCTGAAAGTCGCAGGGCGCAAGGTCAGGGGAATAAGGTGGTCGGTCAAGTTTCGGAATGGATTTCAGGGCAGGAATCCATGAACACTTAACGCATTATGTGCAGGAGCATTGTCGTGGTGGAGAATCCACTTGTCAGGTCAGAGTTCTAGTCTGTTCCTCCGTACAGAGTTTTGTAACCTTTTCAGAAATTCCAAGTAACAATGTTGGCTGACTCTTGTACCAGGTTCTATGAACTCTACCAGGTTCTATGAACTACCCCCTTGTGATCTTTGCAGAACTTTAAAAGCAGAATGAGACGAGTGCTTTCTTCAGGGGAGGTGAATTCACACACAAGTGTTATTTCTTCTGCTATAGTAGACTGAGACAACTAGTCTACAACCCAGGCGAGCGCAATTTAGAACATGCTCAAGTGCAAATGGCTGTGTGATGCACCACCAGAGTGCTGCAGGCCTTCCAGGAATTAAATTGTCACACTCCTTACTGACTTTTTTTCTGCATCTAAACCCCCCTCAATGTTAAATGTTCCTAAAAGTGGAGTTTAACGCCCAATGTGCGCGAGGCCTTAAAGTGTTCATTATCTTTCCTACTTGGTCATAATTTACTCCAAACAAATAAAACAAGTTATAATCAAATTACAACTAAAATTACAGTCCATTTTACATAGAGACAGCAGCTGACCTGGGAAGATGAAGATGAAGAAAGCACTTATTCCTCCGATGATGGAGATGACCTCACTGATGTCAGGAACAAACAAGGCAATGATGAGGGTGACCAGGATCCATAGTACTGTAAGGGTAACCCGTACAAAGCGCTCATAGGAAGCAGTCACATATACTGTCATGTGCTTGTGGTCCATCCAGACCTCCTGTAGAACAGACCTGCGGAACAGGGAAAACATTGTGGGGTTATTCACTAAAACTGCATGGTGCAAAATCTGATGCAGCTCTGCATAAAAAAAAAAAAAAAAAAAAAATCCAAAAAACACACAATTAGCTTCCAGGTTTAATTGTCAAATCTTAAGGCTACTTTCACACGGAGGAGTTTTTGAAGTGTTTTTGCATAAAAAAAAAAAAAAAAGGCACCTGAAAATCTCAAGAAAAAAATGCTTCCCTATGATTGTCTGTATGTTTTCACACTGGGTCGTGTGCTTCCGTTGCCATGTAAAAACTCCTCTTTGCAGCATCTTTGCAGCATGTTTCTTCAGTTAACAAAAAAAAAAAAAAAAAAAAAAAAAAAGCCTCTTCCCATTTAAATCAATGGAAAGCGCTTGAAAAATTATTATTATTATTATACAGGATTTATATAGCGCCAACGGTTTGCTCAGCACTTTACAATATAACGGGAGACAATACAGCAACAATACAGTTCAATACAAGAGGGAAAGGAGGGCCTGATCCTTGGAGCTTACAATCTAGGAGGGAGGGGCTAGTGGTACAAAAGGTAGTAATTGTGGGGGACAGACTGGTAGATGGAGTAGAAGATTCCATTATTAGCTGAGGTCAGGATAGGCTTCCCTGAAGAGATAGGTTTTCAGAGACCGCCTAAAAGTGAGCAGAGTAGGCGATAGTCTGATAAGATAGGGGTAGAGAATTCCAGAGGATGGGGGAAGCTCTGGAGAAGACCTGGAGACGTGCATGGGAGGAGGAGATAAGGGAGCTAGAGAGCAGGAGGTCATGCAAGAATGCCTCTGAGAAGTGTTTTTGGTGCAGTTTTTAAGTCACGTCATTTAAAAAAAGCCCAGAAAGCATGGCAACAGCACGGTAAACGCACATGTGGCACATCACTATGAAAGTATCCTACAGCTAAAGTTAGAAGCAGATTGGCTACCATGCACAGCTGCAGTAGACTCAGAGCACTCCAGTTTTAGTAAAT